TCTCTTTCTTTGTTGGATCTTTACCTGGCTTGGGTATCAATGTGATGTTGGCTTCGTAAAATGATTTGGGGAGAGTTCCATCTTTTTCAATCGCCTGGAATACCTTCAGTAGGATTGGTATCAGCTCCTCCTTGAATGTCTTGTAGAATTCTGCTGGAAAGCCATCTGGACCAGGGCTTTTTTTTGTAGGAAGTTTTCTTATTACGTAGTTGATTTCCTTGATTGTTATTGGTCTATTTAGGGTCTCAATTTCTTCTTGTTGCAACCTAGGTAGGTTGTGTAATGTCAGAAAGTCCTCCATTTCCTTATGGTTTTCAAGTTTGTTTCCATACAAGTGTACGTAGTAGTCTCTAATGATCTTTTGTATTTCTTCAGGATCAGATGTGACTTCATCTTTTGTGTTTCTGATTATGCTTATTTGGTTTTTTTCTCGTTTTTTCTTGGTCAGTCTAGCTAGGGGACCATCAATCTTGTTCACCCTTTCGAAGAACCAGCTTTTTGTTTCATTGTTTATTTGTATGATCTTTTTGTCTTCTATATCCTGGATTTGGGCTTTTATTTTGGTGATCTGGATTCTTCTGCTGAAATTAGGGTTTTTGTGGTCTTGCTTTTCCAGCTTCTTTAGGTGGCTTGTTAGGTTGTGAATTTCTGTTCCTTCCATTTTCTTCATGTGTGTTTGTAGGGATATAAATTCCCCTCTTACTACAGCTTTCAGGGCACCCCAGAGATTTTGGTAAGATGTTTCTTCATTTTCATTTGTTTCCAGGTATCTTTTGATCTCTGTTTTGATTTCATCATTGACCCAGGAGTTATTTAGCATCATGCTGTTTAGTGTCCATGTCTTTGTGGGTTTTGGGGGGACGTTGTTGGTGTCAATGTTTATTTTTATTCCACTGTGGTCCGAAAAGGTGCATGGCAGAATTTCAGTTCTTTTAAATTTACTTATACTTGATTTGTGTCCAATTATATGGTCGATCTTAGAATATGTTCCATGTGGTGATGAGTAGAATGTGTATTCTGTGGTCTTTGGATGGAGTGTTCTATAGGTATCAATTAAGTCCATTTGGTCCAGAGTCTCATTGAGGTTCCGGATCTCCTTGCTGATTTTTTGTCCTGATGATCTGTCTAAGGTTGTGAGTGGTGTATTAAAGTCCCCAGTTATTATGGTGTTAGAGTCAATGTCTTTCTTTAGTTTTCCTAGAAGTTGCTTTATGAATGTTGGTGCGCCTATGTTGGGTGCATATATGTTTAGGATAGATATTTCTTGTTGATGGAGTGAACCTTTTATCATTATGTAGTGGCCCTCTGTATCTTTTTTAATTTTTGATAGCTTAAATGGTATTTTGTCTGAAATTAGGATCGCGACTCCTCCTTTCTTTTGTGTTCCATTCGCCTGAAAATTTGTTTCCCATCCTCTTACTTTGAGTCTGTGTATGTCCTTTCTAGTGAGATGGGTCTCTTGAAGGCAGTATATTGTTGCCTGGTGATATTTTATCCATTTTGTCATTCTATGTCTTTTCAGTGGTGTGTTTAGTCCATTCACATTCAGACTAATTATTGAAATGTGAGAGTTCATCCCTATCATGGAGTTCTTATTGAGTTATTGTTCTTCCACTTGGTTTTTTCTTTTTTTTTTTTTTTCTTTTTTCTTTTTTTTTGTCTTTCTTTTGCTTTTGGGGTTGGTTCGTATATATTTTATTCTTTTCCCTGTACTCTTGTGAAGAACGTTGTTCTTTTTTCCTTTTCTTCTGTGTTTAGTACTTTCTTAAGTGTTTCATGTAGAGATGGTTTTGTGGCTGCATAAGTTCTTAGGGATTGGATATCTGGGAAAGATTTTAATTCTCCCTCACTGATGAAGCTTAGCTTGGCTGGGTAGGTTATTCTTGGTTGAAATTGTTTATCCTTTAGGACTTTGAAGATAGGGCTCCAAGTTCTCCTAGCCTGCAGGGTTTCTGCAGATAAATCTGCTGCTACTCTGATTGGTCTTCCATGGTGGGTGATCTAGCCTTTTTCTCTTGCTGCCTTTAGGATTTTTTCTTTTGTGCCTACTTTATTTAGGCGAATTATTATGTGTCTAGGAGTTGGTCTTCTCATTTGTTGTCTTGCGGGGGTTCTCTGAATCTCTTGTGTTTGAATTTTTGTATCACTGATTAGATAAGGGAAATTTTCTTGAATGATCTCGTGGAAAGTTTGTTCCAATGTGGTCTCTGTTTCTCTTTCTGCCTCAGGGAGTCCGATTATTCTTAGGTTAGGCCTCTTGAGGTAGTCACTCATCTCTTGAAGGTTTCGTTCTGTCTTTTTGAGCTTATTTTCTGTGTTTTTAAGAGTTTGGGTTATTTCTATATTTTGGTCCTCAAGCTCTGAGATTCTTTCTTCTGCTTGGGTAATTCTGCTTTCCATGCTTATCAATTTGTTATTTATTTCATTCACAGTATTCTTTATTACTGTTATCTCAGATATCAGCTCCTTCCTAGTT